TTACTTACCTGGCACGCCTCTGTGCTCCATTTTGAACGATTGTTTTGGAATGACGGAAAAATCAATTACTACTATTTTTCATTACTACAGATAGTTTGTTGAAGAGTAAGTTATATGGCAGTGTACAATGGTGGTAGAAATTTCGCATAAGAAGGATAAAGATGGCATTTCAATATAAATAAAATGCGAGCGAAAGTTAAATACGGTATAGGTGTAGATCTGACAAATATATTCTTAAACAGTTTAACAAAGTGACTCGATTGTTGACAGTCGGCTCTGCTGTTTGTCTATATGAATGAATATGTTATTTTATATATATGTTATCTGCTATATGTTATATTATAGTAAGTATTTTTAGCAAGAAACTAAGCAGGAAAAGTTTTATTTTTCCCCCATGCACATGTGTTTTTCCTGGATCATATTTTCTGAATTGACATTCGATGGTATGGGTACTCTTTTTATTATTTCTTTTTTATTGTAGAATAAGTGCTTAACTAAAGTAACGTTTATATCTTAAAACATCGACTATGTCCTAACGCATTAATTTCTTTGACAAGCAGTCCTGATGAATTCTTAAAAAATTCTTAATTACAAAATAATTTAAATGTAATGTGTAAGCTCTGTATTGAAAGCCTAAAAGGGTGTTCCAGTTTAGCAAAGTCTTGCTTAGTATGTCGATTTACCTGAGTTTTGATAGTTAATTAATTTGATTTAAAAACCAATTTTTGTTTGAAGTGAATGCTGGGTTCTCCATCCTTGTTTTAAAAATCAGTTGTGTGTTTTGCTTCTTCACTTCTGATTAATCATTTATTAGGCATTTAAATTAATAAACAATAATAATAATAAACAAATAAGTGTCAAGAAGTCTAAAAGGGTATTCCAGCTTAGCATAGTCCTGCTTAATTAATTTAAATTTAAAAACCAATTTTTATTTGAAGTGAGTGCTGGGTTCTCCATTCTTGTTTTAAAACCCAGTTGTGTGCTTCACAACTTCGCTTCTGATTAATCATTTATAAAGCATTTAAATGTCAAGAAAATTAAAACTCTTTTTAAACGAAGACAGGAGCTCTACTTTTTGGGTAAAAAACAGAAAATCTGTATCACATACAAACCATAAACAGTTCAGTTTTAAATTCGTTTTTTTTTTGGCCAACTTCTGTTCAGTGCCTTTTACTCAAGTATAACATCAAGTTTTAACTTTTTCATTGGTTGTAATTTTTTGTTGCTGCTGTGTATCTGTATCTGTGTGTGTGTTTTTTTTTATCACGTTGGAACATAAGTTTTGTTGCATATGTATGTACAAGTATGTATGTATATGCGAGTATGTGTCAGTTAGTTTTCTTGTTGACATAAAAGTTTGCTTTAACAGCAACTTTTTTCCGTTTTGTTTTCTAGCTTTTTGCAGTTCTATTTTTTTCGTTCTTTCACATTTACGAATTTGTTGGGGCTACAAATTACAAATTGATTATACGTTCAACAAATGTGTTAATGTGGCATTGTTTGTAAACTTTTGTGGTGTGAGTGAGTGAGTCAGCGAGCTAGAGAATTAGGGGGCCAGGAGTGTTGAAGGGTGTTACATATTACTTTTGTTGCTGTTTTAGTTGCTGCTGACCATAATATATTACAACAAAGCACACACACACACACACACACACACACGCACATACATATATGTGCAGCACAGCTACATCTGCACATGCATAGAAAAGTTTCGGGAGTTTTGGTGAGTTTTCAACAGCAAAACTCTACACATTTTGTAAGCTTGCTGACAAGCGTAAACTTTTGTGAAGCACAATTTATTATGACCAACAGGAAGAGGGGGCGGAGAGGGGGTGTGAATGAAGGACGCTGGTTGCCAAGTGTGCTTGAGTATGTGGTGTGGTGTGGCGTAGTGTGGCGGGTCCAGTAGCTGCTATGCGGTTCGAAGGTCAAAGTAGTTAAAATTTTAGCTGCTGTTTTAAATTTGTTGGTGCGTGGAGAAAAGTTCTTCTTACTTTTTCCGGCGCCCTTTATACATTTCACTGTATTTATTAATATTTAATGCCGCATCGTAGCTTTGATTAAATCATATCATTGGCCATTTAATTATAAACGTTGAAATATGTTATCATGGAATTAAATTATCATAAATAAATTATTAAAATATCAAATTCACAATTTAAATTTATAAATATTAATATGAACTTTAAGAATATATGTATTTATGTTTAGTGTTGCTTGTGCACATTTCTATTAGAGCTGGAAATAGAATGAGGAACTTCAACTTGTGGAGATAAATCAGTTTGAAATCAATCTTTATTTTGAATTGATAATCGCAATGAATAAAGGTTCACAATTTAAATTTAAAAATATTAATATGAGAATTTAAAATATATATATTTAGGTTTAGTGTTGTGTGAAAAATTGCTGTTAAAGCTGGAAATGAGGAACTTCAACTTGTGAAGAAATGAATTTGAAATCAATCTTTATTTTGAGGTTTTGCTCCACTTCTTCGAGCTGCCGCTTCTTTGGCTCTTTTCAACCGGATATCAAATATCTTTTTGCAATCGTCCAATGGATGGATCGACCATCTGCATATTGTAAGGAATTGCGTGAAATTTTAGTTTTTTATATAACTTGTGGGGTTTATCTGGAATGCTACGACGCTCCATTTTCGTTAGAGTTTTAGAAATAACAGCAATATGAGCTTCAATTCGATTCGCAATTTTGAACCAAGAATTCAATACACCCTTGTTTTCTATCAGTTAGTAAACACTTTGAAATAACTCTACAATTTATTAATCCTAAATATTTTCTTATTAAAGATTAAGTATTACGGGAATTGTGGAGAACTTCAGTGTTTATTATATAATAAAAGTACATAAATATATATAGATTCGTATACTTGTATAGATTCGAAATTAACTTTTAAGCCAGCTCTTTCAAATAGTTTTAAATAAACCTTCAGGACTCCTATAGAGTATACAGAATGCAGACATTTATAAAACAATCAATTAAATGGCTGAAAAATAGTTCAGAGCTTCTCAACTAGCTTTAAATAAATGGCTGCGTCAAGTGCACGCTAAAGTGTTTTGTTGATAACGCATGCAAAAAATGATGTTCGTAAAATTCCAACCTTATCTATGAAGTGAGAAGAGCCAGTGGAAATTGTCAAATGTTGAAAAATGTCAAGAAACATGAGACAAAGCTGCATCAGCCGATCTTAGACATGGCATCATCATGGTGGGTGTTACGTATACGCCATGTGAACCACCAAACTGCAGACACAGCGACACAGTTCGCATGTCACTCAGTTAGTCAGTTCGTCAGTTCGTCAGTCAGTCAGTCAGTCAGTTTATCAGTCAGTCTGGTAGTGACTTGGCGAGTCGTTCTTTGGCGCTGTCAGTTTTTGGCTTATCTGAGAAAACTAATTTGTTAAAATGTTGCCTGGCTTATTTGTCGTTGTCGTCCTCGCTTTCCTCGTCCTCGTCCTCCTCCTCGCTCTCGTGCTTGTCCTCGTCGTTTTTCGCGTATCTGGTTTTAGTTGCCGTCAGCATACGCAACAACAGACATAGCCTTAGTAGCTACAGCCACACAACTACAACTACAACTACAGCTGCGAGTACAAGAGAAGCAACGACGTCGTCGACGATGGCGACATTTGATGATGACGCTGCACAGGAAATGCTTGTTGTAGAAAATCTCAAGCATCCATCATACGCTTGATGTGATGCCGCCTTCATCCTCGTCGTCGACGTCTTCAGGAAGAGCGAGTTTTTAGCTGCCGCTTTCTGCTGCTGCTACTCAATGACATTTTGTGATGAAAAATAAGTGAGGAGAAATAAATTCATGTACTGCCCTTTTTGTATGCGCTGCACTGCATAGCCGGCATGGCCTGGCAGGCAACTTGACTTTCAAGTCAAGTTAGCTGCACAAGCAAAATGCTTTGTGAGTATTTTTTCTCCCTCCCCTCCCCTACCCATCCCTGCTTAGAGCGACTACCCCCCCTCTCATTCAGGCACCCTCTAGCATTTCAGTATTTTTGTGCTTGCTTCCTCGCTTTGTATAGCTCGTTAAGCTTTTTGTACCGCTGCCGCTTTGTAGCTTATTTGGTGTCCTTTATAGGCAGCACATTTCGTTTTAATGCCAAAACAGTCGCCACTTTGCATATTAAATTTTAAGTGGCCTTCGCTTAACGTTGCACAGCACATTGCGCAGAGCAACGCTTAAAGCTCAATGAGGTGTTGCCATGATTTAGTGGCTTTGTTGGTTACATAGTTCGTTAGTTTGAAAAGGGCCGTGCTAATTGTGTGAATAGTGTAGAGATGGCCTTTCCATGGACGAACCACAGGTAGTTTATGGCAGTTGTTGTATTCTCTTTTCAAAAGCTTAGCAGAAAGCAGCTTAAAGGGTTCATTGGTTAGCCAAGCAGGTCTGAAGAAATGAATTTAAATTTATGTTTAATAAAAATTAAAAGTAATTTAAAATTGAAATTAATATCTAAATATCTGTAGTGTAGCTTTCGCTTTTTTTATTTATTTCATTGTCAAGCAAAGCTGTTGACGTAAAAAAAGGGGAAAAATCATTAAAATAAATATTAAACTAAATAAAACAAAAGAATAAAAAAGGCAATTTAAATTACAGAAATAACTAATAACGAATCCGACTATGCCCCGATTCACAGCACAAAAAAGAAAAAGAGATGAACAATATTAAACCAAGAAGTAGTAAAATTTTATTAATATAATACATAAGTGTAGTTTTCTCTTTTTATTTGTTTATTTCATTGACCAACAAATATGTTGATATTAAAAAGGAAAAAAATCATTATAATAAATATTAAACAAAATAAAACTAAAGAATAAAAAAGGCTATCGAAATTAATAAAATATCTAAAAGCGACTCGCTGGGGGATTTTATTTGCCAAACGGCCAGCTATCTATCAATTTATCACTTCAATAAAATTTTAAAATTATATTTGAAATGCACAAAACTTATTGTTTAGGAAGCTTATTTTATGGTTTTTTTAAGGACTTTAGTATCAAAAACATAAACATAAACAATTATTATATTCCTTATTATTCTTTTTTCTCTAATTATAATTATTATTATAATAATAATAATAATTTTGTTGCTATAACTAAAATAGTTACTGAAGCGTCCTCCGTTCGAATTAAATGACTTTTGCAAACTATGGTTCAACATTATTATTTAAGACAAAGATTTGGCTTATTTAAAAATAGGTTATCAATATGTGTTAAATATTCATATTTTGGGTCTACTGTGGAGGCGAAAGATATTTCTTATAAAGAACTGGATCTAAATCATTAAAGTGCATTTGGATCGCACGGTGTCGCCAAATATTTTCTGTCAAATCGATTTTTATCCATAGCTGCAACCATTGCTTTCAGAGCAGCCGTTGTAGGTTTCTTTTGAGTTGTGTAGCCGAATACGTTATCTAAAGTTGTATAAATGCATATTAGAAACCATATATTAATATATACTTATATTTTTCAGCCAACTTACTTAGATAGGTATTTGTAGTGATGGTCTCATTACAACCCGATATTAGGGCGTATTTTTTATTGTCCGTTGCCAGGATGTGAACTTTTTCATAATTTTTCAAATGATTGGCAATGAGTTTCTTCGAACAGGCTTGATTTTTCTTGCTACCCGCCCATGTTAGGGTAACCCAGTGCTTACCCCTTAGAGTTGTCTACAAATATAATGATATTGAATTGACACTGAATATTTTATTTTCTTCAAAGTACCTTCGGAACTGTGCTAGTTATGATAGGACATAGTCCCTTTAAAGGATACTTTACAGCTGAGTTATCGTCATCCGATGAAGCAATTATGGTAAATAAACAAATAAAAATAAGTCTGTGCTGCATATTAGTATGAGTCTTATATGCTTGCCAAAAATGTTCACTTACTTTTCTGGGCCAAGCATTGCCAAGCAAATTCTTCAAATGTTTTTAGCAAACTGTGCACTAACGTTAAAATATAAGTATTTATATAAGCATAGCCAATACATTAAGGCTGAACTATCTACTTAGCTATGCTGCAAAGAATTGGCATGCATTGTTTTTCTTCTAGAAAGGTATAGACACAATTCATGAATGAATAGATAGTTCTTTAAAATATATAGAGTTTACAATTTATTTTCAAGCCTTAAGCTTAAACTTGATTTTACAAGACATTGACTTAACAACTAAAATTAGCACAACTAGGCACAGCTAGCCCCAGCCGAACTTATTTGTGCAAAAGGCGAATGATAAATAGTTTGCTGAAAGCAGAACGCCAACAATTAAGAGCATTTGTTTTAATATTAATGCGCGTTTTTCATTTGGATACTAGACCGTCCAGACATGGTTCAATTAACTCATTTGTACTCATATTATTTTTAGCAAATATTTCATAAATTCTCTTCTTCGTTGCTTCATCTGGATGTTGGCTTAAAGTGACGCCATATGCACCAACTGGAAAATTTAATAAAACTCTGAATTAGCCATATATATTACAAAGCAATGATCAGACAGGCCAGCAACTTGCAAATTGATTTACAGAATATAGTGCATTAAAAATTCAAGCAGTTAACAAAGTTTGGTTTTTGATGGAAAAAGGGCGGTATGTATGCAAATTATTTGCTTGTCTGTTGCTAAAACAAATACTTACATGCGTGCATATCCGTAAGTTTGTCCTCGAAATAACAAAGTCCGAATACCAAATAGTTCTTATTATCGCCTCCCATGAATGTTACCCTCTTGGCCTGAATATCTAGAATGTGCTTCATAAAGACGTGCTGACAGGTTGGATTAGATATGCCGCTGCCCCACACAAAATTCGACCAAACCATTGCGTCGGTGAAACCTGACTGTGAACCATTGTGTGGTATTATATGGTATACATTTTAGATGCATGTCTTCTAATGCACTTACCAGTTTAGTGTGTTTTCCGACATCTGGGCACGGACCCGAATTCAGTTCCATCTTAACGACTTGGAGAAAGAAAAGGAACACAGCTCCCGCCGCTGAAAATCTGCGAATTGTAATTACAAATCAAAGTATAAACTAAAGTATTTAAGATGCAAGAGCTTACTTGGATATGGCAAACATTATTGAAACTAAATGAATAAAGCATATACTTGTATTGCAGATTCTACTAAGCTAGGCACAATAGAAAACTTATAAAGGCTGCAACAAATTTAAAAGAAAATTTCAATTTCATTCAATTGGTGTAACAAAAGCATTTTCTACGGCTTAGTTGTTATTATTTTTATGAGAAAGTCATGCAAATAGGGAAATACAAGTGGCTTTACTTATTTACAAAGCGAATTAGACAAGGCCTTGATATTTCTAAATGCGGTTTGCGGAAATGGAAATTTTTGAGTCTCATTTATAATAGTAATTAGCTTATAATTATAATATGAATTAACTTCATTTAAAATAGTTATTTATTTTTTATTTATTTATTTATTTCATCGACAAACAATGCAGTCGATGTAAAAGAAAAAGAAAACAAAAAATCAATACAAAAGAGAACTTAAACTAAAATAAAGCTATAGGAATAAAAAACCTATAAAAATGACACAAATATCTAATAACTAATCCGACACGGTGGGGGAATTTTATTTGCCAAACGGCCAGCTATGCCTTAGTTATTTATTTATTTAACTTAAGTTTCTTGAATAAAATAAATAAACTTCATTTAGGTTAATTATTTATTTATTATTATTATTATCATATTTTCTGAAATAAAATTAATTATCTTTCTTTAAGTTAAATATTTGATCATTTATTAAGTGCGTGATATTTTGAAAAGTTAGAAAAAATTAAAACGATGTTTACTTGTAATTCTGCGCCTCTTAATTTAAAATATGAACACATCGTTTGTCGATCCCATCTATAAAGTTAATAAACTTAATAATTCTTAGTTTTATTAGTTTAATTTATTTAAATTATTTATTTTATTTATTTGCTTCAAATTTAGACGCTGCGCTTTCTTTTAAAATAAACAATTATCAATTTCATTATTTCGTTTCATATAATTATTATTATTATCCTTAATGATTTTATTGAAGGTACTTAAATATTAGTATCCATCTAGTATTTCTGGCACTGAATAAATCATTGTTACTACCTATATCACTACATTTTTGATTTTGCGCAAAGCTAGCCGTAGAGGCGTCACTTAACTCTGCCATGCGAAGCAAATAAATCAATGCAGGTCTTTCGCCAAGGCACCTTTCACATTTTTCATTCCCAGTTCTTGAGTTAATTTAATTTAAAAGGCGAAAAAAGGAAAACTTTCTCCATCACTTTTTTGTAGCATTCCATTCTTTGCCTCTACTCAGATACTCCGTAGTCTTTTGGAGCTAAGTTTACAGAGTTTGCAGAGTTGACACGTCATCTACACAAAGCAAGATGGCGTCGGCCACTACGTATATTCAATGAAAAGGAAACGTATAAAAGGCAAAGTCACATGATGAACTACAACAATGGAAGGGAGATAAAAAAAACACAAGGTCCCTTGCTAGTTAAACTTGAGCTTGAAATTTGCTAGCTTTTGTTGTGACGCCATTTTGTAAATCATTTTGTCCCAGCTATTTTGACCATTATAAATACACTTTACTGTTGTTGTTATTATTGTTATTGTTGCTGTTGCCACTGTTGCTGCTTTCTCTTCTACGTTTGTTTTTATTTACTTCTTTGTGCTACTAACCACATGTTCGTGTACAGAAAGTTTCGCCACCCACTAATTCATTTGTCTGCCCCAACGATCTAAGCCCCTCCGCCCGCCTTATTGATGCAAAAGTTATGTGAAAAGTTTTGATTTGTTTAGTAGATTTATTTTCGAACCCAACAAAAAATCGACTCCAAGTGGCGCAACCGATTCGAATTAACTGAAATAGAAGTTCCTTTATTTGACTGCACAGTTTTCGTCTTGATTGTTTTGATTTTTTATTTGAATATACATTTTTTTATTTTCTCAACTGGAAAACCTTTAAGCCTCGACAGCTGTTTTTAAAGTACATTTCTTTTCCCTCTCTCTATTGCCAGTACTCTTCTGCCCTTTGGACTGCATTTTCTACCTCAAGTTTCTGTTATAAACTTGAGTTATAATTGAAAAATTGTGTGTATGTGTGTATGTGTGTGTGTGTGTGTGTGTGTGTGTGTATTGGAGCTTCAAGAGCAGCTGTGCTTCGGTTTTAATTAAATGTTTCTGTCCGCAAAAGTTTAATAGGTAACAGTATGAGAAATGGTTCTCAGTGTGGAGGGAGTGAGTAAACAAAGAACAATAGATAGAATTAATGTTGCTTAGAGCAGTGCTTACGAGTGTGCTGCACAACTTTATTTTAGGAATAGTTTCTGACGCAAAAATTGTACATTTAATCGATTTCTGTTCAACTAGTTGTTTCTTCCACAAATACAATCTATTTGAATACTCATATTATATATTTTACGGCATGCCAGACGAAAGGAATCCATTACGGGATGTCCGCCTGCTACCATATTTTAAAACTTATGGCTTTGATGCTTTGATTACTTCGTGACCAATTTTTGACTACACTGTTATAAAAATTGCTGGAATTGAGACTTCGTTCATAATTGTAGTTAAGGTTTCAAGTGCGAAAGAACTTATAACTTAAAAAAAAAAAACGAAATATGACATTATACATAAATAAATCCCAATTGAATAAGAATTTTGATTTTGATTTTTATTAAGCTACAGCCTAAAACTGTAAAAGACGGTTTAGTTACACCAATGATTTACGTTGCCTTGGCTTAGACTGTGATTTCCAAGTCAATTTTGTTCCAGAAGTGTTTTAAATACAAATCGCAAGCGCAGTTGTGAATATACTATAGATATTTATTTTATTTATTTATTTATTGGAAGAAATAAAACAACTACGTCTGAAAAAGTAATGTATTGTCAAATCAAGTCGAAACGGGTTTTAAACAGTCTCGAGTCAAGTCTTGGGAAGATTAAAAAAAGTACTTAAAACAAGACTCTTGGTCTTAGTATAACACATTGCGAGCTAACTGTGCTTTTTAAGTAAGAAATTGTTGGTTTTTTTCTTTGTTATATAATATCAGAAACTTTTTTATTTATAAAAAGATTAAACTAAAATATTTCTGTACATTGTTATCCACAGAAGAACATTGCGTTGAATATTGTTTGTGGCCCCAAACCACAATGAGGGGCATATAGTTTCGTTGCAGACGTAGACAATTTCTTAGCTTGTTTTATTAATTTTCAACTATTTAACAAATATAAATATTCATTCTTATTATGAACATGATGCCTTACCACAAAGCAGATTGTTTACTTTAATAAATATTTGTCTTTATTCAAGTATGATTTTAGCTTTTCCCAAGAGTATTAAAATGTTTTGAATTATTCATTGGTAATAACATGATTTGCTCATGCATTCATTGCAATAAATTATTTGTGCATCGGTTACTATTGTTCAGTTTTGTACTCTTTATCACACATCCATTTGTGGTTACTTTGGCTTTTGAACGTTTTTTCCCTTTATACGAGTCATGAATAAAAATGTGTTTATGAAACTGACAGTCGCACGATTCGAGCTGCGTTTCACAATTAGTTATAGATTAACGAACCACATTTATTACAATTGTATTGAAGGCCATGCTGTTTAATATTCTGTGCGCATAGCTGAACAAATAGAATTACACACGTTTGCATTATTATGTCAATTAATATATATTTCTGGTGAAGACAGTAATTAATTGATGAAATGTGTATTATTGTTGCTTTTTTTCCACACTCTGAATGCTAAGTATAGTGATTTCAGTTAGTTAGTTACTTCGGTGAAATATTGATATATTTATAAACTTTAATTGTGAATGCATTTCAATTTGAAATACATATTTTAATATGTGCCACTGTTATGGTATTACTATATACATACACTTTTGATGGAAGAGAAGGACAGAGGTGGTGAATATTTTGCTGAACTGATTGTTAAATTATCATATTTCTGCAGATATTAAAAGGCTCAGCATATAAGCCGGGCTTACATAATCAAAAACATATATTTTTTATTCTATTATTACCAGTCAGGCGAGAACTATTCTTAAGCCTAATTGTCAACAGACTTAACATTAGTTAACAGTTTTTTCTCTTAGTTTCCAATTGTTTAATTTGTTTATGGCCTAGCTTATTAATTGTAAAAGTAAATATTTATTTATTTGTATGTATAAAAATGTATTGCATAATTAAAAGTACTTTTATTCTCGCAACGTTTGTTAGGTATTATTGCTGCTTTTGGTGGGCTTTTCTTCTTAGCTCTTAAGTTCTATATTATGATCAGAAAATACGCTTTTTAAATGTTCTGGACCTCTCTTCTTCACTGCCAACTCAGTTTCCCATTACTTTCATTAGTTGGTTAAAAAAAAAGTCGCTTCTTGATGTTAGTGTAGCAAGCAACACATTGCTAAGTTTGTACGGATATTCTTTATATTTTAGTAACAACTTAGTTCTACATAAAAAATATACATACTTGTGAGCAGCGTTGCTAAGAAATAATGCATAGAATATGAAGAATTCACATTGGAAGTGAACCACTTAAATATTGTTCTATAATGTACGAGCATTAGACACTTCCGCTCAGCCTGTTGTTGGTATTTTTCTTCAGTTTTTTAATAAAATTGCAGTGAGACAACATTTTGGGCAACAAGCAACAACAAGAATAATAATAATAATAATACTAGCAATAGCAATAACAATACATAGAAAAACAACAACAGGAACAAGCATGCAAATCTGCAACTCAAAACTAACTAAACGAAACTAAACTAAATGCAGACATAAATTTTTTATGCTTAAAGCAAAAAACTTTTGCAATTTGACTGCTGGCTGGCTGGCTGGTTGGTGCAGTTACCGAAAACTGGGAACTGCAAATGTTGGCGACAACAACAACAGCAACACCAAATGCTCGCACACACACACACATTAGAAGTAAACAATGTGCCAGCTTATATCCCTTTGCTTTAGCTTGAGTTTTGCTTGCTTTTCTTATTTTAAGTTTTCTTTTGTGTGTGTGTGTGTGTGTGTGTGTGTGTGTTGGTGCTTTTTTTGGGTTGTGC